CTTCCGAATTATTCGACCTTTTGCCATAATATTAACCCACTATTCGGTCAAGTTGTAATATAGAACTGCTGGACATCATTAGATTGAAAATGCAGATCACAAACGTACTGTTTTATTTTAAATCTGTTGACAGTCATTCACTTCACATACTATTACCATATTTAAATTATTTTCGAAACTTTTTATTTACCATTTATAAAAACAAATTGTAATAATTATTGACTTGACTTCTAGTTTTTAGGTTTAGTATACCTCCCCGCTCCCCAATATATCTACTAAACTCGATATAAATAAAATAAAATTGGTTATTTGCTTACTTCACTCGTATTTATGAAGCTACATTCATTTGGGTCATATGGAACACTAGCGCCACCCCAACTTCTGCCATTTCTTGGACAAATTTTGTCAATTTTCCCGTATGAGTTCGTGCTCCTTATCTAGTCTCCGTGGCACCAAAGCTAGTGAAAATCTAGACACAGACTACCGGAAATTCTTGGCCTCAAACTTTTACTCGCTTTTGGTAATGTATGATAGTTATATGTTATATGTATATAAGTCAGATACTACTTTAAAATCCACCGGTTTTTTTTTCATGTTTCGAAATGACTACAAATATATTATTCAAGGCTTTTTTTCGCGAGTGAATATTGGTGAATACGTCTGACTTGTAGTTACTGTTTCTATCTCTTTTAATCTTATTTCTAACCTTGTCTAACCTGAACAGATGGCGAAAATGTATATATTCACTATTCAGTGATATGTAGTATGTACTTTGACGACTTTGACATATGGGTTTTAACTTCTAACCAGTAACCATAATTTGTCATCATTTATTGCTTCCAGTAATCTAGTGTTGTGGGAATTGGTGTTATATCTCACTATATAATATATGTATTTGCTTCAAATAAAACTGAAGGAATATATCAATGCTTTCTTTGGAATATTTTTAAGTGGCAAATTTAAAAAGCGTGAAAAGTATGTAGATTCTGACGTTGCAAGATATGCGAATATTCGACATAATCGTTATCGTAAGAGAATGGAAGGTTAGGTCGGTTTTTTATGTAATTCATACGAAAAAGACTTGAATTACAAATGATTCCACCAATATTATCTCTGGCCTAGGTCACAAAAAAAAGAGGATAATCCTGAAGCAAAGTGGATCGCAAATATGTCCCATATAAAAAATTAATCTCACCATCAAGTAAAATATTTGCTGTTTCAACGTCTATGTTTACTAAAACATCTGTGCCTCTAAAGTTTAAATTTAAACTGGCCACTTCCACAACCATATCAGAATCCATCATTTTGCTGAACGATTTTTATACTCATTCAAACAAAATGTCAAAAAGAAAAAGGTTAAGTTACCGGCTGACAATACTAGTTGAATATACCAACAGAATATTCAGCTGAAGGGTGAAGAGTTCAGTCATTTGATCTAAACTTGTGACGTCACATAGTAGTTTAAATGACTGACTATTCTCGCAAAAACGTAATATTCACTCATACTACACATACTACAACATACGACTTCACTCGCGAAAAAAAGCCTA